CTAATTTTTCACCTTTATTTTCCATTAAATCACCTAAATCTAATTTCATCCAAAACTTTTCGTCCCATCCATGTTTAGTTTCCGATGAACGATAACATATATATACAGATGAACAAATTGATCGATCGAATTGTTTAGTTGCACGAAAATGTAAATAATCAGGTAAAGCAAAAAAATGTGCACGTGTCCATTGCTCATTAGCTAAATTACGTTTAAGCCACATTATTTTTGCTGGTTGCATTTCAGGATTAATTTTACCACCAAAATATTTTAACACTTCATCTGAACTTGAATTAATTATAGCTGGCTCAGCATGTGCCCGATGATCAAGCCACATAATTATATTTTGTTCATTATTACCCGAACGAGAAACACTAACAGGTTCATATTTTTCATCAACAACAACAAGTGAACCCGTGCCATCAAAACCAATCGAACGAATAAGTCCTATTTGTTCAGATGTAAATGATCCAAGTTCGAAGCATTTTCGAACACAATAACAAATTGCTTGCCAAATGTCAGTTGATGATTGTTCATATTCAAGTGGAGCAGATGATGAATGATATATCTATGAAAAAGAGATACAGAGTTCACAATCGATAGTACATATGTCGTGTCGAAGTTACATCTCCGACAACGGGATATAACTTCGACACGACATATATATGAAATCAATTAAAATTGAAACCAGGGAAAAATAGGTTGATTGAAATATAACTAAACCGAACGACAAGACTTTGCATAAAAACAGCATAAAATTCGTTTTGAAAGATAAAATTGATGAAATGGAATTATAGTTCTATATATCACCGTAAGTGATTGTTGAGCAGTGCCTATATCAATTCCTCAAACTTGCACCACCTCATAGTCTATCGTCAGGACACCCATCAGATATCAAATACGATCAGGTCGAATGTTCGAATCCACCTTCCATCTTCTTTTTTTATTATTTTTCTATTTTATGGACTAGTCTGGACGGGATTCATGGGCCGAATAGACTAGACGTGTCTGGATTCAGGGATGTTCTCGATTAGGGTAGACTTGGTTGGAGGACATTTCTCCTAAAGTTGACTAATCACGACGGTGTGCAAGATGTTTCAGAGTAGACTTGACACGTATTGCGAACATTTTGGGCCAGTCATGCCAGTTGTCATCACTTAGTTTTTGCTTACTTGGATAAGATTTAAATTTAGGAAACAATTAACTTATCAAAAACCACACTTCATAATAATAATTTCTCAATATCTTACACAAATCGGTTTCTTATATTGAACGACAGGTATCCATTTATCATCAAAAATCATGCACCGAACACTTCCTGTTCCAACATCGACACCAATTGCATAAGAAGATGATGTTGTCATCTAAAGTAATCTAATAAATAATACAACAATATGTTCATCAAGTTGTTATCGTTCAATTAGATCTTTTTTTGTTTAGATTTGTAACGGAAAAAATATATATATATCTATATATATATATATAATTTCGTTATGACAAATGGAGAGAGGCACATTAATATCTTTAATCTCATTGTGAGCATGATGTTTATTCGACTGTGCACTACATCCAAATGTAACACTTTCATACACAACATGAGCTTATATAGGAGAGAGATAGGAGAGAAGAGAGAGAATAGATAATACAATACAAGGGAGAAGAAAGGAAGGAGGAAAGATATAACAGAAGATTATGCAATGTAAGAATGAACAAGTGATGAGGCCAGGGAGAGAACAATGTAA